TTGGGGATAAACAAATCCTCGAGGGATTCAGGAGAAGCAAATGTATACTCAATGTGTCACTATGTGCCGTGTTTTTTGGGCTGAAGTAATCATAATCATCAATCAAATAAATGTGGAGGGCATGTGGTTTCAACAAGACGGCGCCACATGTCATACAGCCAGAAAAACAATGCATTTGCTGCATCAGCATTTCCCGGTCGTGTTATTTCGCGTTTTGGAGACTATAATTGACCGCCCAGATCGTGCTATTTAATTTTTTTCATTGAGGTTTTTTAGAAGTCGATGGTTTACGCGAATAAGCTGACGACGACCTAAGCCTTAAAAGATGAAATTGGAAGCTGAATTAATGAAATACCACAGCATTAATAAAAAACGTTCATAGAAAATTTCGTTAAAAGATCGCGTGAGTGCCAGCATAGCCGCGACGGCCATCTGCACGATATCTTGTGTCATGCCATGTTTAAATATCTTTGCTTTACGTTGTTTCAAAATGGTTAGGCTTAATCCCATTATTGTTGTTTTTATAAAAACAAGGTTTGTTGATTAGTATTTTATTTTAAAATTTAAAAACATACGCTCAAGCTGGGACACCCTTTATAAATGGCTTCGACGGACATGTAGCCTCTAGATTCATAGAAAATATACAGCTTATTTTCCTTTGGTGTCTGATTTTCCAGATTTTAGGCACATTCAGCCATATATAGTGAATGAAAACAAATCTTACAACAAAAAACAAATATGTATATTCAGGATGCCCATGCTGTTATAAATCAACCTGCCGCTGAAGGTCCGCCCCATTTCGCGATTATTCCCAATTTGTAGCTTTATGTAGATTGTTCTCTCTTTCCCCAATTTCCATTGCTTCTAAATATATCACTTTTTAAATTTCACAAAAAGGCCCCTATCCAAACCGCCCCCATCTTCACAGTTCTACCAATCTAACACTGCTAAAATCTCGTCACCATCATCATCATCCAAGTCACTTTCAAACTAAATTCTCATCTACAAAAGATAATTGATTAAGAACTTCGACAGTAGCTTGACATGCATCAATTATTTTTCACTGCACGCACAAACACACTCACACACACCCATACATACATAGGCACTCAAAGATTTCGAAAAAATTAAACGCAAGGTACAATTTGCACTGACTGCCAGCCAGCTAGCTAGCTAGCTATCTCAGCTCATATAGAGGAGGACTCTCGTAGCCATCAGCAGTTGCTAGGAACATATTTGGAGCAACTCAAAAGTGTCATACATGAAAGAGTGGCTGAGCATCATCACCATTATCGCCATTTCGTCATCAGCATCCTTAGCCACTTTCTCGTGCCACATGCCGATGGCGGCAAGGATAATGGCCGCATTGATGGTGGTGGTGCTGGGCTGGTGGTTGTTGGTGTCTCTTTGTTTTTGCTGCAGCACCGACAGCAGTTGCCTTTATCCAGCCTTCCATGTTTTAGATTTATTGATAACAAGCAGCGGTGCTCGACAAGACAACTTACCCAGCCGGAGAACACACCTTTGGTTGGCTTTTTTGTTTTTCTTGTTGTTGTTGTTGTCATTCATTTTTCGTTTAGGTTTCTGTCCTTTGTTTGCGATTTTATTTGTTGCCACTGAACAGATTCTTTGTGGATGTGGCAACGTGTTCAGTTTCCTTTTTTGTATTTTTTGCTTGGCACACCTCCACCGAACGAACAGGTTGTGCCGCCTGTTGTGGAGGAGGTAGGGGGGAGAAGCGGCATGCATACGTTGGTCTGAGCATCACAATCTCGGTGTGTTTTAAATTCATTAGCGTGTAACCCACATTTTAATTACTTCCAACCGAACCCACAGTAGTCAGCTTGGTGCACTCGAGTGCTTTCGAGCGTTGGGGCGGTTTTTGTCCCTCTAATGATGTTAAGGGATTGGTGGGGCGTTTCTTTGGACTGTTTTTTCCGCTTTTTGTCCTATGTGAAAATTCTCTTATAAAGTCGTTTGAGGTTAAATGCAAATTAATTACACAAATAAAGTGTCTTTAGGGATGATCACTGTGGTGCTAGGCACCAGTCATGCCTCGTTGAGATGTAGGCAAGAGAAGAACCCATGAGGTGGGGTGGGGTGGGCAGGTTAGGTGAGGTGTACTATGTGTGTTTTTGTTAAATACTTTTGAATAGGTAGGTACTTGTGTATAACTGAACATATCCTTAATATGTTCTGAATCCATTTGTATTTGTGCTGTATGTGCGCGTGTGTTTGTGTCTTTTTAGATGTTTGTAGTTATTTACTGGTAGACAACAAATTTAGCTAAGCTGTTTTTGATGGCTACAAATTTGTACCCCACCTTAAGCTATGCTATGCTGCTGCTACTGCCATTGCCAGTCAGCCAGTAATGCTCAAGTCCCCATTTCACCATATTGTATGTGAAAGGTTGGTATGTGAAATTGTAGTCCAATCCACACATCCTTCTCTCTGTGTGAAATTAAAGCCACAATAACTTACTCCGACGTCTGTGGTCGGATGTATCACGAATTCGTAGGTATACCGACCGACCGTGTAACTCTATAAATTACACGAAGGACAAGGAGGGTGGCGGGATCCGGTGTTATTACAACGGATTAGTAGTAACCCAATACAAATATTTGCTCTGGCCTCAAGTTATTTTGGACAGTTTGACATGGAGCGGTTGGAGAACCTTTGATGTGAAAACTGTGTTTGGAATTTATGACGTTAATAATGCTCGAGGAAGATAATGAAATCTTTTGTAACCACAAATGATCCTGTGAGTAGTTAATTTGAGAAATGTCTTTTCCCTAGTAATTTATTAAAGGTTTCCAAATGTTTAATACAGTTATAAAATACAAAGAAAGTTAACTAATACCAATTTGTGGTCGAAATGAATCAGAAATTTTATTTCAATATTGTCATTATTTGTGACGGCTTTACTATTATTTATGTATTTGGGGTTTTTTTTACTGTTCGATATTTAAAATGTAACAAGTAAAAAAAACTGTTTAGTTGGGCCGGGCAGTTGCTACAAATTTTCCGCATTTTTTATGAGGCCCATTATTTTTGTCGACGTTGTTCGTGATATGAGCATTATTGGAGATATGCAAGAGATTTTAGGTATTATGGATTAAGTTCGCCTTCTGGTTGGTTTGATTTTTGATGTGCTTTTTTCAAACCCCTTTTTTTTTAGATATATAGCCTTTTCTAAGATTTGCAATCCTCAAGCGGGATAAATATTTATTTTTGGTCCTTTAAATGAGGATCTCATATAAAATTGTGCTTTAAATCTCAGAATCTTACCCAAACACCAGGAATCTATATTAAAACACATATTTTTAGTTAAATGCCGTACTTTGTATGCAAAATTCTACTACAAACAAGTTAGACAGTATCTGTCGGTTTTGCCGACAGATGTATACCCTCATCCCATGTACGATTAGTTAAAAATATTGTGACTTATGTTATGATTATTCAAATGCTTAACCCCTTATGGAGTAGGTTGCGAAGGAATGGGCCAATATTGGACATTTTGTATCGGACCTACATAAATATGATATAAATATTTCGACGTGCCGGGTTGAGATATGTGATAATTTTTAAAAAATGTTAACATGTGCGTGAGGTACCAGATATAGTCGATCAAAGTACTCCATTTTCATACTTCGTCTTATACAGATGGGCAAGATTATAAGAAAATCGAACATTTACATACACTTTTATGCGAAATCACAAATTCCATATTCATCTCAGGTGTCTGGTTGTTTCGCAAGTTATGACAGATATAAGCTTTGGAAATTGTGACCCTTTGTGAGTGAGGTTCCAGAAAGGGGTTCGCAGTTATATATCACCTACACAACAGATCTTTTCTTAGCAAAAATGTTTGTTTTTGTGAAATTTGAGGAGAGTTGTGTTTTGTTTTTCGTGTTTTGAAACGTCTATGTTGCTCCACAGAGTTATTAATATCCAACGAATATATTCTAATTTTAATATTAAAAGTTATTTTGTTTAAATTTCTTTATTTTTATTTAATAAAAAATACTTCAAATTTTGGACACAAAAAAGGGATGAAAGACATAATTTAGCATTGTCATATTCGCAAATTACTTTTCCGTAATTATTCATAACTGGAGGAAAAATGTTTCGTGAAAAGTGTTTCCATGCGAATAGGACTCCGCGCGGATTAAAATGATTGGGCTGACAGTTTAGAACATAGCCGAGCTAAAAGATTTTGGTTTTGTTAAACAACCAACCAATCAATGTCTGTGCATTATTCACCTAATTCTTTTAAAAATCAGCCTTAACAAAAATTCAAGATAATAATTGTGTTTTAAAAAGTTGAAATAAATTGTGAAATGTAATGAAAATGCAATTTTAATTTTCTCCTAAGCAATCTCATTATACGATTTTGTTCAGCTCTTTTTGGAAGTAAAGGCTTTTTATTTGATTTAAAATTTATTGTGAGTGACTAATAGTATGCTTTAAAAATGATATTTTTAAATACAAAGCAGTTACTTTTATCAAACGTTATTTGGAAATTAGCCTTAACCTTACTGAGACGTTCCCTTCGAGTGTATCTTGCATAAATTTCATATCTTTTTAACAAAGGAGACGTCATCCAAGCACTTTTTTAATATGTATATTGTAATGAAAATCGAGTCAAAATCATTCAAATGAAAATAATTATTCATCATCGTAAGAAATGTTTTTTTTTTTTTTTGATTTTGCTGAAATTAAAAACTGAAATCGTGCAATATATATGTATATGTGGTATATGTATGTATTTTTACTTGCATAATAACTTTATGAACGATTGTGTTTTTCATAGGCATTGCAACAAAAGCATATATCATTACTTTTTTCAATGAGCGATTCCAGCAATTGTTAATCATTACAACTTTTGACACAATATTGTTGCAATTAATTAATGTACGCACACACACACATATGTATACGCTCGTACATACATGTTTTGTTAATTGTTATTTATTATTATTTTTTACATTTTATTTCAGTGTTTTCAACGTCTGCAAAAAACAAATCCCAGTTCTCGCAGAGCAGTAGTTCCGGCTCACCCATGAGCCCATCGCCACAGGGTTTACGCTCTCCATTTGGTAAGTGGCTGCATCCATTCCATTGTGATTGTAATAATGTTTTGTGCTTTTGTGTTATTGTTTTTGTTCTCTCTTTTGATATGCGGCCGAGTTCGTTCTTTTGTGAATGGATTTAATTTTAATATTTTATTTGCAATTGTTGGCCAATTCCTCCTCAGCTATGCAACCTAAAAATCCTATTTATGTATTTATTTGAGAATTTTTAATCAAAGAAGCATTCGAGTGTGTTATGTGTGTGTCGCTTTTAGTTGTCATTGGACAAATTTCAAACAAACAAACACTCACACACATGGATGCTTCTTGCACATGGATTCATCCTTCCTTCCTCTATCTCTCCCTTTGTCGACCAGTACGACCATGCGGAACGGATGTTTGAGTATTTTTTTTTATTTGAATATTTAAATTACATCAAAATGAGGTTTATTTTGTGGTCTGGGTCATAAGTTTACCTCTGCTTCTTTGCAGTCTACCATGTGTGGGGGATTTTAGATCTCTTTTTTAGTTTATATTGGTCGGTACCTTCTTCTTCTTCTACTTGTACTACTTCTTCCTTTTTATCTGTTTCTGTATCTTCATGTATTTGTATTTGTTATGCTTTTCTCATTACAGCCAATCGTGGTAGCCCAGATAGTGTTGGCAGTTTATCGCCTGGAAATGATTCTTTAGTTTATGGCGACACAAGCATAGTATCCCCCCAAAAAAGGATACATCGTAGATATTTATGAGATGATATTCTGTAATTTATTTATATTTTATGAGGAAACACTGCCACCAGCAAAAGCAACAAACAACAAGAACAACAGCAACATCATGAACGACAACAACAACATAGTCAACACCAACAACATTGTGCCACACACGGACACAGTCATGCATCGTATTTGTGTTTGTTGTTTTTATTTTATTTTTATTTTCAACCTTCTACTCTCCTACTACGTCACCAAGGCCAAGACTGAAGCTGAACAGCGATAGACCAAACAGGCTCTAGCTACTAACATCCTAACAATCATCATAGTCGTCCTCGTCGTCATCAACAACGTTTGGTGGTTTTTTTCTACAACTTTCAGTAACTACGACATGAGCATAAACATCAACTACAACAACAACAGCAGCAGCAGAAACAAAAACAATAACCACAAACGAATAAAAAACAACAACAGAGGCAAGAAAAACAATTGTTACATCCTGACATACAAACGTACATGTGAACATGCGAAAGGGAGAGTATGTGTTACTTTAACTACCCACAATAGACCCCAAGAGCTGTACACATAGTACCACCCTACACCTATACACACACACACCCATGCAATGCGAAATGTAGTATTCATTCATATTTATGTATACAAACATATATGGACATGTTGTGTTTAATCCTTCTTTCCCCCATTACCACCATAGATATATATTTTTATTCGTCTTTGTAGTTTAAGGATTTTTTTGCAATGAAGAGTGTGCTCCAAAAAAGACATTAGGGTGTGTCGAACTTCGTGTTGTATATAATTTAGGAGCAAATTCTTGCATTCGTTATCCATCAAATTTTCATTGAAATTAATTTGATAAGAAAAAACAACTGGTTTCTAACGCTAGGTTTCGATATAGGTCGATTGAAATTTATTATAAAATCCTACAGAAATGTACATATTCAAACTCATTTTAATAGATTTTTCCGGTAGCGCATGCAAGAATTTGACCCGGGCTTTTTCTTTAAATTCAAATAAAGTCGAATTAGGGTGAGTTTGTTTTGTAGTTAGTAATTCACTCGGATTCGGTTGTTTCGAACTGTTCTTTATTTCGTTATAAATGTTTGATTTCAGATTAAATCCAAAGTGTAAATTTATCATACATTTATTACATATATGAAAGTGGGAAGTCCATACCCTAGTTGTTGATATTATCGATTTATAACCTACATATCTTTCAAATGTGAAGTAATAGATTTCTTGTCCTATTTGCGAAATATTTAATGTATTTTTCTCTTTACTCCTTTTACAAAACTGATGACTAATGAATTGTTTTACATGGGTTCTATTGACATTTGAGTGTAATTTATCTACCCATGCCTTATAAATATATTATTTCTACAATATGTGTTTAATAACAACGAAGGTTTTCAAATATGCAAACTATTTTCAAATTAAAATGTTATATTTTTTGACAATTTCACATTATTTTAAATTCAGTTCAAAATTTTACATTAAACTTCCAAAATAACATTCTTTATTTGGATTTATTACAGAAAAACGTTTTCCGAATTAGATATAATTTCATTATAATAAATCAAAATTGTTCGAATCATTTCTTCTTCTTAAGAAATAGTTATATGAAGTGTAATAGATTCCACTTGCACGTAGAAATGGAGTAGTGTATTGATAATGGCGACGTTATGTATATTCAATTTAAAATCTAGTTCCTACTTTAATGAAAACATATCCCCATTTTATACAACATAACTTTCGGCACAAACTAACTACACCAAAACGCTCATACACACACAAACACACAAAGTCATTCATATATAAATATCGTTAGGAATTCTAGTTAAGTTTTTGAAGCACTCTTTGTATTCCTCGTGCATTTGTTTTTCTTTTACTTCTACATTATTTTCCGTTTGCTCTGTGTTTTTGTTCATTGATATATATTTTCTTCTATTTTCCCCCTTTTGGTATGTACACACGCACACATTTATATGTATTACGTTGGTTTTTTGTTTTGTTATGTTTCCTTTTCTCGTTGGGAACTTTATTATTTTGTCTCTCCCACTAAGTACTGCTAAAGAAATGTATCCTTTAATTTACTCGTTTATTATATTTTTCTTTACTTCTTTCTTTACTCTTTTTCTATGACTTGGAAGCATTAGTTTTAAGTTCATTTTCAGTCACTTAACATTTAAGAAATTAACTTTAGACATAATAATTACTAATTGTTTTATTCTAATAAATAAATAAAAAAACACTGAACAAGAAAAACAAAACACAAGCGGCATTTTACATCAATCAAAATTTTTACTAATTGGTTTCCTCTTTTTTCCTTTAACACCTAACGGGTTGTATCTCTCTATCTGATTTTCTTAAGATGGGAAAAATTCGTTACTTTTCTACTACTGAATAGGAACGGAAATTTTTGTCTTTGATTTGAGACAAATTATTACTATTAGTTTAGATTGACATAAACAAAATAAACAAATTAGAGATATACGGAGCTAATAATGATTTATAAACACATTCATTGAACCGTTTACCAACATCAAAGCTCATGTTCGTAAATTGCCAATGTATGAATCGAATCATGTTTTCCGTTCCAAATTGTGGTGTAAGCCTCGTATCCAAGAGGCCATCTTAAAATATCAAACATTGTACCGTGGGAAACATATGTGAATGAACCAACCCGCCAGAGATATATTTCATAAATAAAGTATGTATTAAGCTTTAATATCTTTATTCCATCGTCGTTCTAGGAATATTATTGTCACATAAAAGCTTTTCAAAGACTTTGGGGAAGAAGTTTGGGGTAGGCTAGATAAGAAGGATGATATTAAAGTATCGTTAGTGGGTATTTATCCTTATTTGCTTAAAGAAACAAAAAAAATGTGATAGCACCGGAATGTTGTATTTTACTTGTGCTAACTTGAATTCGAATCATGGAAATTGTTACTTTAGTAGGTGTTAGAAACAGCATAAGGACACCGCGGAACTATATACTTGCTTCTCACTTCCATTAATAAAAAGAGCTGACTTAGAGGTAGTTGGATTACCAATTTTTTGAATTTCGATAAGGAAAGTTGTGCTGAATTTAGCCAGTCTTATGTCCAATTTTGCCGATTTTTATGCTCTCAACCATATGACTATATATCATTTGATACGGCCAAAATGTTCCTCATTGAAATAACGGTTGTAGACCTCTTTGGTCTCTTTGGACTCTTAGGACATTTGGAGTCGATCTAGCGATGTCCGTCCGTCCATCTGTATGGCAGGTTCGCACGATAACTATGAAAGGGGGTATCCGATTTGATCTAAACTTCGTACATCGTAATATTATTGTCAAACTTAGATTGATCCTAATATTTACATCAGTGCTAGGTCAGGTGCGAAAATGGAAAATATCGGTGCACTCCATCATGTACCTCCCCCACAAAGGGTCAATATTTTGAATAATTATAACTCTTATAAAATGTGCCATAAATGTCCGTTTGTCTTCAAATTACACACAATACAATATTTTTATTAACCCAAATTCTGGTATCAAGGTAGAATATATCGGTCCAGTCCTTCTGGTACCTCCATTCCATTCAGACATGGCACATCCCAATAATTCTATCAGTACAAGATCTTGAAAAGATGGTAGAGATTCGACCATTCCTTCTTTTACCTCCTCCACAAAGGATCAACATTTTGAATTACAAAAACGATCATAAAATCCGAAACAAACGTCCGGCTCTCTTCAAATTCACACATTACAATATTTTTATTAACCCAAGGTCTGATGTGAAAATGAGATATTACGGTCCCTCCCCCCTGTACCTCCCGCATACAACGGATAAAAATTTTGAGTATCCATGAAGCTCATAAAACGCGAAATTAACAACCGATTCCATTCGGACTTGGCACATTTAATATTTCTATCAACACAAAATCTGTTATAAAGATAGTACAAATCAGACCATTTCTTCTGGTACCTCCTCCACATAGGATTCAAGATTTTTGAAAAACAAAAGGCTAAAAGAAAGCGAAATAAGCATCCTACTCTCCAAATATTTTTGCTAACGCAAGACTAACTACATCCAAATATTTTTGCTAACGCAAGATCTGTTGTGAAGATATATTAATCTGCCAAACCCTTCCACTTTTCTGGCTTAGGCAGTAGTATCCATTACGAACTTCAAATACCAAATTTGAAACAATTCCAGTGAATAATGTCAAAATACCGAATATGGGGAGGTACCGTTATATGGGGTCTATACCTGGGGCCAAATCACCGCAGTCGAAATCGGATACTTCAGCATCGTAATGTAGTTTAGGAATTGTTTTTACTCGAAGTTGTACACGATAGGTTGTATGCTGTAGAAAACAAAGTATGTAGAGATTTTTGTGCGGAAAAAAGGCAAACAAGAAGTTGGTGAAAGTGTAAGTTCTATTCTATTTTAAATAGAATCACTTACAACACTTCAGACAATGCTAAAGGACAACTATTTTTCCTTATTAATGCCACTTTGTACTCATGCTCTGAGTCCGAAGACGAGGAAAACGAAAAAAAAAAAAACACTTGCATTCATAATACATTTGTACACATGAATTTAAACACACAGAAAAAATATAAATTTCTCAGGAATAACATATTTTGATCGCAGATACTTACTTGGAATTCACATTCGCTTCCAATTTCTTATTACCATATGTTTACAGCAATATAAAAACAGTAGTGGACAGAATAATTTACGATCGAATGCGGTGATCCAAAAATTTACAGCGATCGAAATGTTTCTCTATACGAAACAGAACTCGATGACGAATGTGGTAATTTGGCCCCTGAATGTGGACCTACATGGTTCGTTTTCAATACCAAAAGTCGTACAGACATAAAATACATTTAAGTACGATTTTATCAACCTACTTCATTTCGTTCGGAAGTTAGAGTGATTTCCACAGACAGACAGGCGGACGGGCATCGCTAAATCGACATGAGGTATAAAATGTATAATTCGAGGTGTTAAACTTAATATACCCTCCATACTATGGTGGAGGGTAATAACAACATTTATTGAAATAAATATGCTAGAGTAACCTGAACCAGAAAAAAAGGTTGCGATTATCGTGCGATGCTCGCGAAATTTTGCATGGGGTTAGGGTCAGAATGAAAGTCCATTGTTCTTAAGATGTACATTTAGGGGTTCAAATCAGCATCAACATTTATTGAAATAAATATGCTAGAGTAACCTGAACCAGAAAAAAAAAAAAGGTCGCGATTATCGTGCGATGCTCGCGAAATTTTGCATGGGGTTAGGGTCAGAATGAAAGTCCATTGTTCTTAAGATGTACATTTAGGGGTTCAAATCAGCATCAGAAGGCAGAGAAGAAGTCTAGCATTTTGGATGACAATGGGGTATATTTAGCTGTAAAATCGACCACAACTTTCGTGTGAAACTGTTTTGAATACCTACCGGAGTGCGTAAATATTGGCCAAATTCCCAGGGTCAAACACCAAAGGGTAACATCTGAGCAGGGCTCTTTGACATTATTTCAAAAACGAAATCTTCCAAAATGGATTTGGACATAAGGGGACTTCAAACATATTGTAGTGTTGTAGGGTGCCACATGGTCTGCCCGAACGACTTTAGCCTTTGCTTACTTATTTTTGCTCTCGAATTAGTTTGGTAAAATACCCAAGTGTTTTCTATGTGTTTCTTCCCCAATATGAATATTTTTATTGATATAATTATATGTTTCTACGAAATTTTCTTTTTCTTATTGGAACCCTCATGGAATGGGTTGAACTGTCCCCGGCTAGGTTTTGGTAGTATCTGAAGAACAATTTTTTGATGCCTCAAAGATATTGTCTTCTTTTAATCCCTGCTACTAAGAGCAAAGGGGAACTCGCCTCAAATATTAATTAATCCCTGTTACAGAGACAAAAAACGATTTTTAAATGATTATTTCTAAGAAACTTCCACGAGTGGACTCGTGGCAGGATTGCCTTGTTATACAGGCACTTTCAACTTGTTGGCTAACGAGAGCCGACGATTTTTATTGTGTGTTCGATTTTTTGCTTTAACAGCAATGGTCGAGGTATTCTAAAACCTATAGTGAACAAGGATTCCTACTCTATAGTATATCGTATAAACTAGTGAGAGAAGAAAAGAGGAGAGAGAGGTATTTGTTACAACGATCAAACAACAAAACAGTGCATTGACACGAGAAATACAACATCAAACCTCCGCTGGTTTGGTGTTCATGGTTTATTGAGTAATAAGATATTCTTTTAGTTACAACTTTCTTTCATATTATTGTAGAGAATGTGCGACACATATTCGCTACGTTGTTACACTACAGTAATATTCTTATCAGACTTAGTATTGAAGCGAACTTTGCAAATATTACCCCATTGTTTCTCACACCTACCCCCGGAAAGGTCAAAAATATTTACACAAGAATATGTTGTATATTTATCCCTTAGAAAACATTTAGAGTACTAAATCTACCCGATTTCAAATGTCATTTCCATAGGGTATACGTCACGTAAATCCTATTCATAAATCCAAAGGATATTTTTTGACGTATATCCCATGGAATTGACATTTGAAATTGAGTGAATTTCGTAAATATAAACGTATTTTTATGCTACATCATATTTAATTTTCAATTATAATGCTGTTGTCTCCAAAGTTCCGATCGGATATGTAGATTCAATATTTATGAAACGTCCTCCAAAGAGAGTAAATATAAATTGATGGTCATGTGAAAAAGGTAGACCCGCTTATACTTTTTAACTTGTATTTACATATTCGAATGTTCAAACATTTTTGTGTATATAGAATTCGCATGAATCCCCAATGGAATGTAATCCCCATTTAGGTAATTTTAGTTTGTTTATTTGTACGCATTTTGTAGCATGCCTTAAGGCGCTAAGTTAAATGTCGTTAATCAATTTTAGCCCACAAAATGATTAAAGGCGCAACCACAGCGCCGGAAATAAATTTACCAATTATTTTCTGTTTTATCAATTAATATTGGGTTAATTTAATTTCTCTAGCACAATTTAATTCATTTTTTCAACTTAGTTCGCAATCGCTAAATATTATTTTATTCTCATTGAATTTAACGAATTTATTATCTTAATGCGATCGACTTTACTCCGGAAACACGTAGCCCTGACTCACTTTTCTTGGCCTTTCCAACTCAGGTCGTTAGGTTTCATTTAACTGCGCCAGTATTGTTCTGCGGACATCATCGAAATTGGTTTGTCCCATGATTTAGTTAACATAT